TCCAGACTTCTATGGCTTTTGTGGCACTATAAAGAAGCAGCTGGGGGCTGTTTACGAGTTTTTGTCACTCCTCCTCCCTGAATTGATGGTAGTTTTGCAGATCATTTGTTTAATCGGAGAATCAGTATGATGGCTGCTGCTGGAGCAGAATATTTAGGACATGGCTGTGAATGATGTGATTGAAAACTCCTAGAAGGACAAGAGGTAGTTACGCAGTGGAGAGAAAAGAGGCTGCCCTCAGCTTTGCTGCTGCAAATACCAACTAAAGAGTTAACAGAAATCCTCTTAGGCTCTGCTGGTGTATGTATAAACATCCGTTATTTACAAGTCATTGTTTTTTCCTTTTTATAAAGTAGACTAGAATGTACTTAGTGGAGATTGGAGTGGTGGCACTCGGGCAGTGAGTAGGCCCTTGTCCTCAAAGGCCTCCATTGTGAAGCCAGGGTCATGGTGTCATTGTGTGGCATAGGCTATAATCTGCACTTAACCAGCACTTAACTTTAAGACCTCAAACGACTAATGACTCCTTAGTCCCCTTTGTCAAAAAGTTCCCTCTTCTGTATCCCAGAATTGTATTTTAACCAGTAGCTGTTTGCTGAATGTACCAGTCGTGTATGTTATGTTATGTGTTTTTGCACCAGCCAAATTAGAATATTTAAGCATCAACTCACACAGAAAGGAAATTGGCGTGCACTCAGTGAGTGAATCATGTGTGAACATATTTTCTGAGCTATGGCACCCTGTTATGCCCGCATCTCAGCCTTCTAACATTGTGCCAAAATCATTCCACAGTATTTACAGTTGGAGACAATGCCAATGTTTCCCCAGATGGATACCCTGTCTCTAAGAAACTGAAACTAAGGGGAAATAATCAATTTAAGGGGTTTCTCTTTTTTTGTTATCTGGTCATGTATGTTTTTATTTCTTTGTTAAACAAAAGATGTCTTATTTTGGAAGCTATATCGGATAGATTTTATTTAAGCAAAATCTTGTAATTTTGTAAAGTGGGCCTTTATTATTGAAATATATTAAGTATTTGTCCATCTTGATTTTAAGAATGATATTTTTTGCAAGATAATGTCACAAGATAATGTATCTTCATCATTGTTATTACACTCCTGGAGAGTACTTATTCCTGTATTTTGTGTTTGTTATTTTAATACAAGACATTTCTCATGACCTGGAGACATGACGGCACACCATGGATCAGAGAGAGAGAGAGGCCAGGGTTATGTCATAGTCATTAAAGAATGAGAGCGATGTGCGTTTTATCAGAGCTGAGCAGGTCGGCAGTGCTGAGTGCTTCACCATGTGTCGTCCCATTTTTACTGGGGACCATTCAGTGCTTCGGCCTCTTCGCTACTCTGTTCTCCCTCGCTCATAAATTCAGGGTTTGTACATCTTCCATGCTGTATCTTTGTAAGTGCTGCCAAAGAAAGAAGTGTGCAGACCCCAGACACACGTGTATATATTGACGCACACAAATAATCTAATAGGAATAATCTAATAGGAATTTAAATAAAGAAAAAATATAACTGGATCTCATCTCTCTTACACACATACATGCAGAGATACAAGAATTTCAGGCCTCTACAATCAACCAGTTTTTGTTTGCTTGTTTTATAAGTTAATTTTGTGTGCAGAAGGAGACTGACAAACAGAGGTGTCAACACACAAAAATGTATGTGATGAAATCAGATCATAAGGGTTTCTATGATTTCATTATTGCTTCTAAGTGTGTCAGCAATGCCAGGTGGACTGTGTGGGAAGGCTATTATTACTTTTGTTTTGTTCTGTTTTAGACTTAATACATTGTGCATGTTTTAACCTTACTGTGGCTGGCGCACTCTGCATGTAGGTCTCTTGAAGCTGCCAACTGTACAGCAAACCATATGTATTCCAATAAAAATAAAAAACCAACCTGTTTGTAACACGTCTCCATGTTGGAACCTTTTTTCAGTATGTGTGTGCGTAGCTGATCGTGCGTAAAACTCTACCATGGATGTTAATCTCTTTCATGCTATTTTGCTGAACAAGCTCAGCAAGTTTTGATTTCCTAGCGGTGCTCGCTCTGTCTGTCTGTCTGTCTGTGTCCCCGTCCAATCCACTGGTTTGAGCAGAGAGAACAGCAGCTGACTGGTATGCAAAATAAGCAGGCAGACAAACGAGGCAAATTTGTCAGGTACAAAGAGGAAAACCACAAGCTGTTGTGGAATGCAAGGTCAGCACACACAACTTTCTCTTAAACAGCTACGCTTCGCTTTGTGAAAGCCAGGACTTCTGTTCCTATAGCTTACTTTAGAATGTGTCGATTGGAGGATTTATTCTGATAAAACTTTTTTTACACACCTCTGACCCTCATTTACTTTATTATCCATCAGTAATGCGCAGTGCATCTCAGGAGAGGTTTTCCACTGAATTTTTACCCACTTTAAACTCAAGCTGCTTGGTAGTTTCCTACATTTCCCAGATCAGTTTTGTACAACTCTTGCATGGCCTTTTGTGTATGGGTGGAGAGAGTGATGGAGCCAAAGTTGAGAACAAGAGACATGTTAGTGCTTAGCTGCATTGCAATATGGTCTATTGAGGCTACTGAGGCAGCTCTTGGACTCACAGCTTTACATTAATAATCTCAGGAGTATCAAATTGTGTATATATATTTATAGATTACCTATATTTCTCTTTTATCTATCTAGACATTTAGACAACTGAATAAATAAAAGAAGAGTTGAATTCCTGATATAAGACACCCTTTGACACAGTTGAAGTGTTCTGCCAAGAATTCCACTTAATCCAAAATCAAATGAACTGGCAACGTTTTTAATCTGCTCTACTATTCTACTATAATTTTAAACATATTTGCTATAAAAGTAAGATTTAATTTTGACAAGTTTTGTTCACTTCCCACAAAGACTTGTTTTGAAGGTCTATTTCATATATACATACATACAGTGGTGGAAGAAGTGTTCAGATCCCACAAAAACAAAAATTCTCTCATTACATTAAATAAATTCAAAATGTTAGGATGTAAAAATACAAGTGTTATCAGCAATATGTACTGTACTGAAAAACTTCCTTTGAATATGTAATGTATTTCCTAATTAGATTAGAACATCAGTGGTTAAGTAGCATTTTACTGTTGAACACGGCCATGTTTATCAGTTTAAGCTGTACTCTACCTACTATGACAAGTTAAAATGTCTGATAAAATGTCAAGTAAAGTAGCACATGAAAAATAAAACTCCTCCCTTATCAGAGTTCACCATTTAGCACTGCTAAAGAGGAATCAGGACTATTCCTTGATTTGTTTGTGGGGTGTCATGAGTCAAAACAGTTGAGAGTCAGGGGTTAATGCTGTCTCCTGCTTGAGGGGTTTAATCTGTCCTAAATTCAGATGTGGGGAGGTGCTACCCTAACACAGTGGTGCCTGTTTGGACCCTGGTACTCCTGAGCCTCAGCGCTGGTGCCTGACCTGAATTAGTGCTGTGAAGTCAACCATAGAAATGACTCAGTGGCACTCCAGGCAAGAGTAGGAGGAAGACGGAGGAGTGAGAGTGAGAAAGAGGATTCACTGCCTACAACAGGTGTCATATACGTAGCAAAGGCTGAGGGGGATGTTGACTGTGAGAATACAGCCAATGGGTTATTGAGGTCCAGCATGCAGTGTTGAAGAACTCTCACCAGCTTGATAACTGTACATGTTTGGGATTTCATGTATTTCTGTATTTTACAGAACAGATTCATATTGTGAACAAGACAAAACTTTAGAGACACGCTAGTGACTTTGTTATGTTGTGCTTCGAACTAAAAGCTAACATCAGCCTGCTAACATGCTCACATTGACGCTTAGGAGGTATTTTGTTTACTATGTTCACCATCATAGTTTAGTGTGTTTTAATTAAAAGTACAGATGAGGCAAATTGGAATGTCATTAGTTTTGCTAGGTATCTGGCCATAAACCAAAGGACTGGACAAAGTGAAATGATTTGATCTGATTGTGGTGCTAGAGTCAAGGGATCCCCAAAATCAGTAGGATGTTTGTACAAACGTTCATGGGAATCCATGAAATAGCATTTAAGATATTTCAGTCTGGGTGAAAGTTGTGGACTGACTGACATGGCCATGCCTAGAGCCATCCGCTAGCATGGCTAAAACACTATACTCACATAAGCTGAAACAATTATACAGTGCATATGTCATTTCTGTATTTCTACATATCTGATTATTATGGATAATGTCCAAAATACACATAACAGCATGTGGGAGGTGTTTGTACCTGTATACATTCCACCCCACACCTATGAATCATATGAGATGTGCTCAGACATGCTGTGGTCTCTCATCCAAAGGATTTTTATAACTAGCTGTCTCTGCCTCTCATTCAAATAATCAGTTGATGTGGGCTTGAGGCTATTATGAAAAATAACCTCACCAGTCAACAGTTAAACACTGCTCTGAGCTTATGGTTTACCAGGGAGGTGAAAATACCCGAGTGCTCCAGTCCAAAACCCCAGCTCAAATTACTGTTGTTACATCAAACATCTCCTTTGGTCACGATAATAATAACCGCATCTCTGGGGGGAAACAAGGCCTGTGACGCTCAAGAGTGCATGGAAACAGAGGGGCACAGAGCCCTGAAATACAACTCCACAGAAAAGCTCATAGCTCATGGTTGACCATTTTAATCTGCTCCCTCATTCATCAGATCCCCCACTATGTGGAGCTGCTGCCAGGGACCCTCATCACTCCCTCACTCACACACACACACACACACACACACACACAGGAAAGCAGCCAGACTTGCAATGAAGGAGGGTCATTGGGGGGTCAAATAAGCAGCTATGGTACTTTTGTACATGTATGTACAAGTACAAAAACTACACATCTGCAGGTAACAACAGGACATAAAACACTTTGTTCTATGTTTAAAATCTGAAAAATTAAGTCTGCATACCCACCCTTTTCATTTTCAAGAAGAAAAACGCTGAGATTTCAAGATGTAATCTCTTTCTTCTTTTAATAACAAAACAAATCAACAATATAAAAAAAGTATGTGATGACAACCATAATAAAATACTTGCAATGGAAACAAAAACATTCACAATTCGTTCAACATCTGTCTTTTCAGCTTTTAATACGAACTATTTTCACTACACTCTGCAACCTCAATAATAGAAAGTACATTTAGGAGGCATACAGCTACAGTCCATAGCAACGTTTTTAAGCCTTAAGACCACCAAGACAAGCCCTCTGGAACGACACCAGGGGGAAAGAGATAAACAGATATACGATGTCTGGTTTTAGGTTGTGTGTACATTTAGTATTTAGACGGGGGCACATAAATAGACACTGGATTTTGCAAACATGCTTCGCATGGAATCAAATACACTGAATCGCTCTGAGTACCAAACATAATGCCATGCTTCTGTTTTTAAGACTGGGAAGTCACATATTTATAAAGTCTTAGATGACTTATTACATTACTATGTAATAAAATTGGGATTGATTCCTCATTCTTTAGCATAGCACAGTCTCTGTAGTGGGTTACATCTGTCTCCACATTTTGCTGGAAATGTGTACAGTCACGAACATCCCAAAATAAAAGTCTGAGGAACTGAAATGCTCCAGTTATGGAATCTCACATCATACCTAAAGCCAGAAAATAAATCCTCAAGTCATTACTACATGTATTTTTCTCAAAAATGCAGTAGTTTGTCTGACAGTCTGGAGTTGGCAGGAACTGGGAGAGGCAATTTCAGACACTGGGGGTGGGCTGAGCCTGCTGAGGGTTGCTGGCGGCTGTGGGAGTGGCCTGTCGGGGAAGCGTGTACATGGCACCCAGGAACTGATCTGCAATGCGTCCAGCCTCACGGAGCCCGCTGAGCAGGGCGCCATGGACTGTAGCAGGGTAATTTCTGATAGTGTGCTCCCCAGAGAAGAAGAGACGAGGGACCGGCTGAGAGGAAAAGGAAAACCACAGTGAGATCGATGTTGGATTGTCCCAACATAATAAGGAATTATAAGAAAATAGGGGGACTGATGAGACAGGAAAAAGTGCGGTAGTAAACTGCCAGAACTCATCAGTCAACGCATAAATATGACTTGTTCACATCAATCAGCATGCAAACTTCAAAAGAGCACAAAAAACATCTGTGTGGAGAATAAACTACTCTGCTTTGGTTTGGTTAAATATCGTGGTCAGGCCCGGGATGCCTTCTCTCCCTGCTTTCTCTCGCTTACACACACACACACACACACACACACACACACACACACACACACACACACACACGATTCTTTAGTAGTTTGTGTGCTTACTTGTGAGGCTCCCGGTATAGCAGGGCCAGGTGTGATGGGTTGTGCCATAAGGTCATAGTCGTTACCCGAAGAACCTGCTGCGACGTACGAGTAGGAGCCCCGCGCCCAGGGGTCTGCACGCCAACGAGTGACCACAGTTTCCTTTGGCTGCCATGACAACAAACAACAAGACATACTTTTCAGGAGTTTCCATGATGATATCGGAGGGACCTGTAAACAGCTGGTTGGCAAACAGTTCCAACGCTGGCTTCCATGCATATGATTTTATCCCATTTGAAACCATAAGCAAATGATTTATAATGACGAGTGGTTTGGATACGACTCCACTTATGAGTGCCTTTCACATATGCTCGCTGTGTAAAGTCGTGCTGGTTATGGGGGTCAATTCAGGAATTAAGTTGACATTCCACTTACAGTAATGGAAAAACCAGAGAAATAAAACTAATGATGGAGCTTAAAAAATACAATCCACCACTACTTTTCTGTAAACAACAAACATAACGAAGTTGTAAATGAACACAACTGCCAGCTATGTCAAATTATATAAATATTGTGAGAGGAATAAACTATCTGGTATGTGGAAGTTAAAGAAGTAATCAAGATGAAAGTGGTGAAATATGGACAAACAAATGTCAGCACTGAAAATATCAGCAAAGTGGGAGAGTCGTGTACCTGCGGTACGGCGCTGCTTCCAAATATTCCTTTGAGAATGGCCAGGCAGCGTCCGACAATCACGTCATCGCTGATGTTCTCCATGATGCCAGCGGCCTCACCAGCCATCAGAGCAAGTAGGATCGGGGCTGAAAAGAGGAAAGGCAGTTTGTTACAGATGCGTTTTATGGATCTATCAGAGAAGGGCATGTATATGACATTATATATGAACATGAAATATATCTCAGTACCACATAGCTCTGCGTCAAAGTATCTACAACAACAGTGTGAAAGTAAAAGGGATCTTTGTCACCTTTGTAGAGGTTCCAGAAGAGGAAGAGTTCGCCTCGACTTGCTGTGGTGGAGCCAACATGACCAAACAGGTTGACGCTGGGATCCCAGAATACGCGGTCAAAACACAACACCACCTTCAGACGGGGAGGAACACAAAATAAAAACAAACAGTCATACAACAATCAAAGTGCTTATTTTAATCAAGAGCTTAACTGCCTGTGAAGTTCATCTCAGGATCAGCACATTTACTGGCATTGCTTCATAGTTATCACTGTGTGAATGGTGGGGCGCCCTCTGCTGGAGATACAGCATTAGCTGCAGCTCAGATTGCATAATAATGCAGTATTCTCTCTCTGTGCTGCAGTAGAATTAGGAGTTAAAACTACCCTGCTGCAGATGATGCTCAGCAACAGAGAGAGAGAGTGCACAGGAGAGCTGGTGGGTCAGAAGTGATGCAGAATGAGCACTCTGATCGGATTACGAACACACTGGCAAAAAGCATTATTCATTCCCACGCAAACAGGCTCTGACTGCCTCTCCACTCCTATACTTAGCAAACACACTGTCCATGCCACCCTTTTAATCCCACCCTCCATTCTACATCAGAGCTCAGATGTAGGATAGATAAAACATCATCACCTAGGCGGTTTAGCGAAAAGGAGGGAATTCCCTGTCGTCTGAGCTTGGTACTAATCACTATTGTGATTTATGGGGACAACAACAACAACAACAACAGGAAGGAGGAAGGGGATGTGTTCATTCTGGATGCTGCGGACTTGGACAATGATATATGAACCTGCAAGGAACACACTCAAATACTTTTTTTGGCCCTCTACCACTGAAGGTCAACTTCCTGGCATAATGACACTGCAGCAGAAACAGTAGCAGGAGGGCTCTCGAAGGGACCACATCCTCCATCTTGCCAGAAACACACTACATGATTTAAGACCGGACGTGAACATGACAACTTATTTCAAGACTGGAGACTTTGCGCTGGTTTGCACAAAGTGTGGCAGGCCATACTTGGCACACATTATCCTGTACGGAGTAGAGCCTCCCATGTAAACATCAGACTACTTAGGGACCATCTTGACTATATCAAACAGCTGGTCAACATCTAGAATCTGGACGAATCAGAATGAGATTGTGTAGTTTGGTGAACTGGTTAATGATAACAGGATAGAAGGAAGCAAGCACAGTATGCTTATTTAGAAATACAACCTTGTTGAGGTTGCCAAAGCCCATTCTCTGTATAGCAGATGTCTTCCACTCAGGCAGCGGGGGAACAAACTGCACAGCAGGGGGCTGCTGCTTCAACACACCAAGAGGCAGGGTGCACAGCACAGCATCACACTTGTATATGAAGGTCTGGGTTGTGGAGCGAGTGTTGACTGCTATCACCTCACAACCTGGAGAATGAACAGATAAGACACATTGCACATTAGTTATGAGATCTACAGTGGAACTCGTGGCCAAAAGCGGTAAAAGACACACGTGGCTCTGTGCACGTACCAGAGGCTGTGTATCGAACCTGCCGCACTGCTGTGTTTAGTTTGATGTCCAAGCCTTCAGCCAGGGCCACAGGAACACAAGAGTAACCATTCCTTACTGTCAGGTGGCTGCCAGTGAACTCAAAGTCATCATCCTGTGGATAAATTAACAACCTGATACAAACCTGACCCAATAAACCTCCTAATGTAACAAAACAGAATGGCAGAAGTGTCTCATAGTTAAATCTAGCAATAACTTTTTACGCACTTTGCACTGCAAGAACGGACAATCAGTATCACACAGTTATAACATTTCAAAATGTCTACATGTATATACCTGATCCCAGTGCTTGAGAGAAAGGGTGGAGAGGGGCGTGGCGTTGGCAAATTCCAAGTTGGCAAAGTGCCAGTCTAGGATCTGCCGATCCCTGGATGACAGGTAAACATCACTATGGGAAAGAAGTAAAGGAAAGAGACATGGTAATGGATCCTGACAGCTATTCAGACATCATGGGGACAGGTTTACTCATGCACAAGTTTAACTCAACAGAGCAATAACGTAATAATGCATATTTGAACACAGCATTAACGGAAAACTAAAAAACAAAATCTTAAAATTGCCACAGGACATGCACAGGTAAACATCTGTTGCTAAGGGCTGCAGGGCTCCAACAAGCAATTCTTATTTATAATCATTAACGGACTGATTATTTTCACATAGGCCGTCGAGCATACTTATCCTGGATAGCTCCAATTAATAAAAGGCGGCTTGTGGAGATCTGCATAGTTACATCACAAAGGGGTTGTTTCAAACCAGAGCACAGAACAAGCTGCTCCTGCCTTTGTTCCTAGCTGGATTCAAATAATTGCTTTGTGGCCATGTCGGATCAGGGATGTATTGAATTGAATTTCTGATAAATTACTTAATGTGTGTGTAAACAATTCACCCTTATCCCTCTCTACTGTTTAACATCTGGTAAGTTGTCCCGGTGCAGAGAAGGAGTAGCAGTTGAGGAGATGATGCTGAAACATGCTGAAGGATTGGTTACCTGGGTGGATTGGCCTCCAACTCCTGCAGCTTCTCCTCCAGCTTGACCTGCATCTCTACCAACTCATCATATTCCTACAAGGCAGATAGCAAGGCGATGTACACACATGTTCATTACATCCATATAGTATCACTGCTGGAAAATATTGATACTATTCATTTATTAACTATTACAAATAAGACTCAATGATGATATTTCACAGCAAGCTTAACTGGTGTCAGACTTTAGGAGCTGGTGATGTCTTTAACTAAGTGAGCGTGTGTCGCATGCATGTGCGTGTGTGTACAAGGTACACACCCTGAGGGTTTCAGGTCATGTAGAAAGGACATGCAGTCTCGACAGAAAGGGCTGACTCAACCTGTTCATCAGTTCACCACAATAGAACCCAATATAGCAGCAGCGCACATTCTGGTAATACCACCTACCGCCCCAGGACACAGCTACACTGAGTCAAACGTCCTAATAGTGCCTCCAAGCTAGCAAGATGACCTGGGAAAACACGAAAAATGGCAAGAATACTGGGAAATGTCCCAGCAAAAATATCCTGACATAGCTATCCTCTCACTGGCTTTAAAATCTTGTTATATGGTGCAGTCATGCATGTGACAAACACACACACACACACACACACACACACACACACGCTCTCTTAAATGCTCATCCTGTCTTGCTGAAAATGTGTGTGTATATCCGCAGACATAAAGACAGTCAGACAGTGATTCAAGGCCTTGAAGTGGTTTCTCAGACAGCGGATGGGTAGCAGACAAATCCAGTTCAGACACCAGCTGTGTTTAAACCAACTAAAACCTCCTTCTAAAATACACACATAGCAGCAGTGGAGGTGATTTATCTGAACCAAAAATAAAACAGCAGCATTGACTCTAATAATACATCCTACCAAGGCATTAAACCACTTAAACACAGCTTGTCTGGTTTACTTGGATTGCATGGCATTAACATTCTGTGAGGCATCCACCCTGACCTTAGTAGTCCATAAAATATCCATTTTACATGCTAGTACTGCTGCCTTATAATACTATTACAAATTGTTTGATCTTTGCAAGCCTTAATTATTCAGAACAAGTACAAACGTTTCTGTCTTGCAAACTGTGGTGGTCGACCTTTTGACCTGCAGGTACACTTAATAGTCAACCCAGGAAAGCTAATATTGCTTCAAAGTAGTTCAAGCTAAAGCAACTGAAAACACAGACGCTATGTAATACCCACTACACCACAAACACACTTGGAAATAGTATTTAAACTTAACTGCTTTGACTAAAAGTATTTTTAAGTCCTGCAGCCTGATTTCTGCCTGGTGCAACGGACTTGAGGAAGTAATGAAAGTGTCACATAGGAATCTCTTCTGGACAACAACCAGTCTAGATAACTGCCTGCAGCTTGTAAATATCTGTAGGTAAGTGTAAGGAGATGTAAGTCTATTGTAACTTTCTATGTCGCTCGTCAGATTTTTTGATGATGACATTCCTCTTTCTTGTTCTGAAACAGTGTTTGAGCTCACTTTGCAGAGCGCGGTGAGGTCGCGGTGCTTGCTCTTCACCAGGAACTCAGCTGTGATATCTCTGGGTGGTTTGACTTCACTGGCCTCTTTATACTGCTGATGGAGCTCCTTAACCCGTTCCTTAGTGGTCACCATCTAAAAAGGGCAAAATAAAAAGGAGAGGGAAAACAGGGGGAGAGGAAAGAGCAGGGTTTAGCACTTTACTTCAGGTCAACTTGCAAGTGCTTCTCTGCCTTCCCTGCATGATTTTTTTAACCTGAAATTGAAATCTTAAGCATGCTTCTTTTACCATAATGGCACTTTCAGACTGCAATCAGTTTGTCAGTAATAAACCTGGAAGGGCACCCCATCTATTAACTCTCTTAGAGAATCAATCAAGCAAATGTAACTGACAACACCGCTGACAGATGTTTGCCAAATCTGAGCAGGACTTTTTTACAGCAATTAAGTGTTGACAGTCTGATTTCTGGTCCTTCTTTTTTTCATACCAAAATGACAAAACAAGTGGAAAATTAAAATGCCTTCACCACTTGCCAAGGTTTCCCTTTAAGTAGTCTTAAAGGAATAATTCAACATTTTAGGAAATGACACTGTTTTCTAGATACCACTCAACACGCTCAATATGAAGCTAGCCTGGTGTTCTGTCATGACTGTGAAAAAAGTTCCAATGCACAACTCCACAGTAAAACCAAATCAACATTGTGGTGGCAGTAAATTACAGTTAAAATTAGTGACATTTAGTGGTGCTAGTTTACAAGACTAGCTGTCCCACTGCTTCCAGTCTTTATGCTAATCGGCTGCTGGCTGTGGCTTCATATTTGAGAGTGGTATTAACCCTCTCATCATCTCGATCATCAGTAGTCTCTACTGTCTTTAAGCACAGTTTCTTTACTACTGGGTTTGCAAGCTAAGTCTTGTGGCGCTGGGAGGAAATTCTGCCACCACAAAGTTGATGGCATTATGAAATCTGTTTAGGAAGCTTTACTTGTGCTCACCTTGTTGAGAAGATCCCTGAGATCTTCCTGAGTCTTTACGATCTTCTTCCAGTGTTCTATCTGCTCATCTTTTACATGCTTCTCCTGCAGCCTACACACACACACACACACACACACACACACGATTATGATTATAAGTGTTTGTGTGTATCTGTATACATCTATTCTTTGGGTACACGTGTGAAGGACACATCTGTCACCATCTCCCCTTGTGTGAGTTCATGTATAGTACACCATACTCACTGTATGACCACTTCCAGGGCCTGTCCCAGAGAAACAGGTTTGTTGTTGAGGAAGTTGAAGTCCAGCTGGTGGCTGAGGTAGGAGGTGGCCTCCAGCAATCTGTTGAACTCTTGCTCCACCATCTCATCTTTTTCCTTTGGCACCTGGATACACACACGCAACCACAAAACAAGGACATTGGATCATCAGTCACACTAACGCCAGCAGTGATGGAATCTATATTTGAGTGTATTTTTCCATAAACAGTAGGAAAAGCATGCCAACTAAAGTTAAAGGCACAAAAATGATTAGAAGTGGTACAATAAGCTTGATCATGTTTTGTTTTAATATAATTTATACATCACTCCATATCCTACTAAACTACTTGGTCATGCATTTAAGTCACTGATATAAGCAGAAGAAGCATAAATGATGCTGTCCATGCCCCTCAAAGACACTTTCCCAGTAAGAGACTTAAAGCATGCTTCCAAACTCACTCAATATAAACATCATGCTAGGATAAACCAGACATTTCAAGTCTCAACCCATGATTGGTCTGCAGCACAAGCTCTACTCCGACCATCTGAAGGGGGGGGGTGCTGTACATCAATCATGGATTGGGCTTTTAATTTTAGTATATTCCACCAATTTGAATAGAGTGTATTTCACTACAAATCCTTATCTCTACAACCTACATCTAGTCAGACTCTTGTCAGTGGTGTTATTTGATTATTTGTACAGTAGCCTCTACATGAGATAAGGTATCATTAATATTGGAAAGTTCTCTTATTATTAAAATCATAATGTATTACTGTGCATGTATTACCACAATAAAAATATACATGTTGTTTGCAACTTCTGAAAATACTTCAGAAATCTAAACAGAACTGCAGTACATGAACAAACTTGTTATTGTGCGGCTCTTCCCTTTAATAAAAAAATGTCACTTTTATTTTGTAATTCCTTTTCTAAAAGATGAAGGTTTAACACGAGCTGCTCATTTGTTTCTCTCTTCATCTCCTACATGGGTGAAAAATGATGAGTTACACAAAGTAAAATTTAAATGGATGGAGCTGAAATGTTCACTTTTAAAAGTGATTAAGAATTGGTTAAGGAAGATATTACGTAAATAAACCAATACATACACTTGTGCACCGTTCACCCTTTAGAAGTTCACCAAAAGATAAACATGGAAGGGGTTGAGAAGACAAGGGGCAGGGTTGAGGGGGAGAGAGAGAGAGAGAGAACATATTAGGTAAACACAACTTTAACCTCAAACAGGTTTGCACAAAAGTAAAACATGTACATTTAAATTCGCCTTTTCCTGCGAAAGAGGAAACCAGTTACACATGTATAATGTGGATGCCTCAAGAGCCCTGCTGGCTAGTCTCTGCTAAAGTGGAAGTGCCCTGAATATGAACCTAAACATCCTACTACTGTTGCTGCCACTTGACGGACAGAACAAAAATGAGGGGGGAAAAACACTGTTTGTTTCCAATTTAATTACATGAAGCTATATCTGTTTTCTGTTCTGCTCTGTTCGGAAAGGAACTGGAGCTGTTGTTGATGACACGCAAAGACAAGCAGTTAAATGAATCCACCATTCACTGTGTTTTTGTGGCTCACAAAAAGCCAGATCCCTGCCTCAGGACAACAACAGGCTTCGAAAACAGCTATAAACCCCCAGACACAGGGCGCTTCCATGCCAAGAGGGAACCATTGTGCATCCATAAACATCTTCTGTTGAAGGAAATAAACACCACAAGGTCCTGGTTTCAAAAATCTAATGTGGATACACATATCCAATGCAGCTGTAGCTACACACGCGTTAATGGCGGTTTGTAAGTGAACTTAACCTAATGTTGAGCTAAAAATGTTAGTATGACTGAAGCAGGCAGATATTTTTCAGGCATCAGCTGATCACATCCATGCTGCCATTAGCCTTTTGCCATCTCACAAGTGATTTCTTGGCTTTACGATAAAACCTGGGATCTTTCCAAATAACAACTGAATCACTCACAAGGTATCTCAGGATTCGACTTGTTTAAAGAGGTGGTATTGTGCTTTTAGGCCTTTTCCCTCTCCTTTATTGAGTTATATATCTTTTTTGTGCATGTAACAGGTTTGCAAAGTGAAAAAGCCCAAAGTCCAGCCCAAAGGGAGTTCCCATCTCCCACAGAAAGCTCTGCTCTGAACCGCTTGAAAACAGCTCATATGTAGTCCAGTCCTTCACTTTCTTTATTTGTGACATCACAATGAAAACACGTCATAAAGCTTGCCAAGCAGCTTGCGCAGGGTCAGGCACGCCCTCAAACCAAGCTAGTCTGAGTGGAGGCCCTTTGGCTCGACTTTGTTTGGGTTTCCATTGTAGAAATGTTGTACCTGTACCTGCTTCCAGGTACTTTTTTTTCATATCACCTCACCTCTGTGGAGGTTCCAAGCGAGCTGAGGGGATACTAAAACATAACGTGAAAACACGACAGAATGCTGATTGGTCAGAGAGAATATTCACTATTCACTGCATCATCATTGCGTGCGCCAGACAGAGGCCAGCAACAGAAAGTTTTATATTTTACAGTTTTCATATGGAATTTCATCACTAAATCCACTTCTGAGAAGTTTTGAGGTGAGAAATCAGCTGTGTTGATTTCAAATATTGACAGTTTTACGAGAAGTGATGGCGGAACAAAAACGTGCTTGAATATTTCTGGAGTTGAGGAGCTCCGCAAGTGGCTGTGGGGGAAGCCTGTGCCAAGCCGCGGGAGGAGCGTGAGGCCGGCCAGCTGCCCGCTCACAGAGCCCTCTGCTCCCGCCGTCACACGGACCGCTGCAGCAACAACGGAAGAGGAAAACACAGCTGAAAGGTTTTCATACCGCTTATCTGTCTTTACATTCTGAGTAATGTTGAAACGTTTTAACTTAAAAAAGAGAAAGCTGTGTGGATCGCTGGTGTGTGTGTCGCATTGAACATTACGTTGCGGCAGTTGTGTGTGGCGTCGCTATGATGACAAGCTACGTACTATCTCTGGGTACTATCTGCAACGGAAAACAGAGCAGGGCCGAGTAGATTATCGATTTGCGCTATGGTAGCATTTTTCGGCAAGGCAGCATAACGTTAGATCGTCACCGGAAACAGTTCAACGTTTAGTCCTGATGGTAAGATGTGGAACAATGATGTTGTGGACTTGAGTAACTTATACCATCTGCTAGGCTACGGTCGCAGTCTGAAGCGTCTTTGATTTGGATCACACTACCTTGTTTCTTACGACCTGCCCTTCTCTGCTTCTGATTGGCTAGTAGTCCTTACCTGGGAACTGTGCATGTGCAACTCCCAACAAAAATTTTGTAAAAGTAAAAATCATCACTCTGTAGCTCAAGAGCGGTGCGTACAACACACAGGGTGGAGAGGAGCTGCAGCAATGTGCAGTATGAGGAAAAATATGGTGCTTTTTGAAAATTAAACCATGTAAACCTGTTCTGGTACAACTCCTAAATAAGATTTTGAACCTGAAAATGAGCACAATACCACCTCTTTTAAATGGGAATACCCCAAGGAGCTTGGGTATGGCAGGATAATGGACAAGAGGCAGGTTAATTTACTGTAAACTATATTTCATTATACTCACAGCCTGGCCATTGGCTTCATACAGTGGACACTTCTGTTTGATCTTGGCCAGCTCCATATTAACCTGCTTACTGATCACTGCCATGGGATTCCCTCCTGAACAAGCACACACACACACACACACACACACACACACACACACACACACACACGATTGAGGATGACACAACACAAACATGGACAACAGCACCCTCTACATGTTGATGTTAGTGACTGCAGAATCTAAGAGGAGAAGACTATAATCTGACTTTGTTAAAAGCAACAACCTCAAATCATGTGTCATTAGAGACAAGTGCAAGAGTGTTCTGTCTAATCATACAAGCTAAATCGTTTCAGGAGGTCTACTACTATTATACTACTAAAAACATGTGATGTAGCTCTAGCATGGAATGAAAATGTAAACACTTCTGACTTTGATATTCAGATTTAAAAAAAAAAAAAAAAAAAAAAAAAAAGAATAAACTGGATCTAAATCTCACCCAGCCCTGTCACCACCATGGCTCCCAGATCAGCAACATAGTTGCCCTTCCTAAATGTGGCCACTCTGCCTCCAACACGGTCCTGCATGGAGAAATTATGTAAAAACCTTCTAACTTTCTACAGTGACATAGTAAACTTGTGGCAATTACAAACATGCAATATTACTAGTGTTGTGTCGTTCAAAGAACATTTTGTTCATAAGACCTAATCGTGTGTATGACTCGGGAGGAACGGGTTGTCTCAGTGAGTGATCCGTTCATTTTCACGCATGCGTGAAGGATCTTGGACTCTTACATTCACTCGTCATACGTCAGCTGCAAGGGCTCCGTCAGCACAGGAAACAGAATTGATTATTTCACGACTCAACTGTGGGTCTCTGGGTCTGAGTCGTTCATTTGTCATGTGACAGCTACTGTGGAGCAGGAATGAACGACTCGTTCACCGCTCACATGGGTCCTCCTCAGTCTTTCGTTCACTCGGCAGGCTGAGTGACTGCCAGCGCCGGAGAATGAGAGGCAGGTCGGCTGTCAGGTAACAGTCACTGGACTGACATTATATAGCTATTTTGTTAATTATGTGACATTTTATAAAGCATAACGTTATTACAGCGCAGTGATGTTGTGCTAAGTTATAGTTTTAACACAGCCGCACCATAACTTTAGTCCTGCTAGTGTTTGACATTACAGCTATCAGCTGATGAGAGTTGTTCTGGGTCCGCTCCACTTCAGAGACCTGACAGGGTTCTACCTGGAGCCGAATTACCTCCGAGGTCGTCTCCTCTCCAAAACAAACAGACCCGGTCATTAAAACATTAAAACACAGCAACGTAGCAATGTTAGCGTTAGCCCTGTAAACTGCTAACAGCTGATCCAGGTCCGCCAGAGAACGCAATGTAACTTTTCCTTTTTATTTACTAACAGAGCCGTGCTGTTGTTTCACAGCTCCTGACTGGTGAACAACCTGCAGTGTTTCAGAACGATGTGCTCGTGTGTTTCTCTGTCTGCAGAATCTGGACCTGATGTGGCCCATTCTACGTCCAGAACTGCCAAACTGCTGCATTTGTGTGTTTATTTCTCTGTTCCTCTCTCTGTGCTGGAGTTCTTTTAATAACTTGGTGGCTTGATCCAGAGTATTATTAAATTGGTTGAATTTTTAATAAGAGTGTGTTTATTCATATAGTGTGTCAAGCTTATTACTTCAGTATATTTACAGCAAATTTGATATTAATATTTTACTCATGGATAGGGACGTTAGGCTACTGTATGAATGAGCACTTAGATAATGATAGTAATTATATACATAAGCCTTTATATGGCTGGTCTGGTTGTATACTCGGGAAAGATTGTGAAAATGGAAGGATTTAGCAGGAGTAGTGGTGATTACATATTGACAACATATTTGTGTGGTTTTTACATGGTTTGAAGTTTTTACACGCTTTAAAGTACCATTTACTAGTGGCCAAAACGGCGGCTGTAACACAGTGAATCAATCTATTTGACCGTCGCAACCCGAACGAAATGACTCGTTTCGCTATCAGAATGTGATCCATTCGGTCGGTAACATTTGAAAACGCTACACCAGCCGCACATATACAATTTTACCCCCATTTACATTAGTGGAGTGCTAGACCGACCGGAAGTTAGCCTGCTCGGCCGGCAAAAATCAACACAGTGGACGCTGTAGCGCTACTGCCGACTAGCGTTTGGGGGTGTAATTGCAGAATGACGGACACACCTATGCACAAGTATAAATGCATGGCTACGCGCGTAGCCTACGGTCGTACGTGCGCACGTGGACCCTACGCGCGTAGCCTACGGTCGTACGTGCGCACGTGGACCCTACGCACGTGGACCCTACGCGCGTGGACCCTACGCGCGTAGCCTACGGCGTACGTGCGCACGTGGACCCTACGCAGGGAGTATAAATGGGCCTTAAGTCATTCCATTTGTTATCATCCAAACCCCAACACAATATAGGTATACTGTATATTTGACATGTATATAGGGTGGCACTAATCTCACAATGCTATTATTATTACTACTACAAAAAAATACAGCAAATGTTTGACAATCATAAAGTTATTTATACTAATAGCTGGTTCAAAACAAGGGACAAAATCACAAATATACCTGAAATAACAGATTAACAGAAACCCTGTTGGTGACCTACCCTGGCCTCCAATACTGTAACATCCATCCCGAAGCTCTGCAGCTGCCTGGCTGCAGCTAGGCCAGACACACCTCCACCAATGACTATAACCTTTCCGGTCTTCTTAGCTGCAACAACAAGCAGGATAGCGTTACACCACTGACCCTTCCAAGGTCAATGTCTCTAAATGCTTTTGTCTACAAGCCAGAATAGCTAGTATATTCCTAATATTCAACAACCACTTTCATAGACCTGATTTTGTTCTTTTTTGGCGGGGAAGACATGTTTGCCTTCCAACCAAGTGGACTGTAGAATACATGAATTGTACCAACATATGGCTACTGTTATTTTACCAGTGCACTGAATGAAGTGAACTTACTGGGTAAAGGCTTGACCCTCTTGTAAATGCCAAAGTTAATGAGTCCATGCCTTTCTAAGTAGCTGTGTATCCTGTGGACCAGCACAGCATCGCCTAAGAGAACAAAAACACATAAATCTCAAATTCTGTATGACCGCAATCTTTTTCAAAAAATAAAGACAATAAAATGAAGGAAAAAATTATGTTTAATTAAATGTCTCACTGTTGTATGGAGCTTCAAGCTGCTGTGCTGTAGCCTCAAAGGTCAATTGGATCTTAGGGTTGTCCAGCCACAGTTGGAGCTGAATGAGGTTAATATGAATATGTTTAAAAGAATGATTCCATAGTGCTTAGTTTTTGAACACAACGTAATGTGTTGACTTTGGCACTTACTGTGCGGTTGCGGATGTAGAGGAAGACTTTCTGAGTCTGCTGGGGACCGCTGATGATGTCAGGGAAGCAGGCAGCCTCCTGAGATGTCATACGATCATGCGGAAGACGGCTCTGGAAGGCAGCTCCTTCCACACCTAATAACAGCACTAAGTGTCATTTAGGACCAATTTAAGACCGAAAGAAAGAGCATTTATGTGCAATGAGTTCCAAACTGAAATCAAACACATGAATTATCAGACTGTTTGCCTTGTTGTTAGTAAAGAACAATCTCTGCATTCCTGTATAAATAAAATCTCAGGCTTTTAACCAGAGCTTTAAATGAGGCATTTTATTTCCTCAACAAAAAGTTTCATTTCGCTGCTTTGATGTGATGAGTCTGAAACTTTATCAAACATCATCAAAGTTCCAGACTCACCAGATGGTTCCTCTGGTTCACTGTCATTCTCCTCCTCTACCGGTGGAGCCGGAGGAGGGATGACCTGCTTCCTCTCTTTCTCAGCCTTGGCATTCCTCTCCTCCTCAGAGTAATATTCGTCTTCCGACAGATTGGCCAGGCTCTCGTCCATCTCGCGGTACTCCACCTGCAACAGTAGGCACAATAAAAGCATCATTAAAACCAGCATTACCTCGGATTGGTTGGAGCACTCCCACGTCGCTTAAAACCGCCAAAAACCTTTATGGGAGTAACAAACAAATACCATGAACATCACGATGCAAAGACTATGAGAAAATAGGGCTGGGTGATATTGCAAAATTTTTTATCAGGATAAAATATTTCAAATCATTCAATATTGATAATAAACACCAAATCCTTATTTCTTTCAAGTTTAAAGGCTGATTTTTGCTCCTGAGTGAACGTTCAAGAAACCAGATGGTTAATTTATGGTGAAAACATAACAGTGGATTACTTAACAAATCTGAGGTAGAACATTCAAGACAATTATCATAGAATCTTTTTTTCAACAAATATGCATGAGTAAAGTAAAAAAATGTTCGGTCCCTTTTCCTCAACAAAATAAATATCTTTATAGAAAAATTAGGTGCCAATTCATTCATGATTCAAATGAATTTAATCAAACATTTATTGGATATTTGTTATATTGTTATTGAGGAAAATTATATGACGATAATTGTTTTATTGCCTAGCCCTATGAGAAAATACTTGTGTGTGTAATTTCCACTAGGACACACATGCAGGGGAGAACATGTGGACTTAAGGTACAGATCAATATTGCACTTCATGTATTGATCTTTTCAATCAAACAAATGGTCATAAAATAAAATAGATATAATTTTTGAAATAAATGTTCACCCATCCTTTCATTTTTGGCAGCATTCTTTCCTCCCTGAGTACACAGGGAGGAAACTAAACCCTAAAATGTTTACTTTTGCTCGCTTGCGACGACTTGTCCTGCGAACTTCAGCTGAATCTTGGTCTGCCCCCCCAGAGCCTGCTTGGTGGGGCAAAGGGGCTCCTCCAGGTTCCCCACTAGGGGACGACCTCTCCTTCTTCTTTGCATCCATAGTGCCTGCAGCTGAGGCTGACGGACCAGTCTGGGCATCAGAAACAGGGACTCTATCACCTCCTGCTGCTCCTGCAGTAGACGATGAGGAGGAGGAAGAGGAGCCAGCGTCTGACTTTTTGCTAGACAGCATTATGGAGGATGTTGGAGGCCTCTCCTGAACAAACGGTGAACAGAAATGAGATGAAACCCACTGAAGTGAAACATTCAACTGCCCATGTTATAATCTATTGTTGTTTTTTTTTATACATGAAATGGTTGAAATTTGAATGTTCAAACCAGTATGAAATAAAAATTACAAAAACTCCTAAAAGAAAATATGAACATGATGAAGTGTGGGTTGTGCGTGCTGAAAACAAACAACTGTTTGTGCCATTTGTTATGGCACTATGTTCACTGAAATGTATAACTATTATTAGTTTAAATGTAAAACCTAAATAATATATGCCAAATGGTTATTTCACTCACTTTCCATTGGTTTTTAAACAAATTAACTCCTATTAGAAATTCGCTTAAAACCGCGAGGTCAAATGGTCACTTTGCTGTTGGGGGCAGGGAATGCACCTGCTACAAAAGGCTAACAACCACCAAATACTTTCGGGCTTTGGGAAATGCTTCAACCCAAAAATGTCACAGTCTGTATCACTGGGTGATTTAAGTAATGTTAACTGTACATGAATGTCATGGTTTATGAAATGAGGGTTCCGTGGTTATAGTAACCTTGTCTTGTTTTACCCATTTGTCCGTGCACCTGGTAATATCCATTCAAACACTAAGAAATGAAGACAGAACCAGAAATATGGTTACGAACAGGACCAACTGAATGATAAAGGTTGGCCTTTCACATTAGCTAAACATTTTTTTTAAAAACCCGCTATCAAATATCCACTGAAGATTACAAGGCAATCAGATAAAACGTATTTCACTGCTGCCCACTTGTTTATCAGCGCTTTTAATAAGTTATCCAATTCAGAAAACCTGAAGTAGATGAACGCGTGTCCGTATGTACGAAACCTGGTACTTGATTAGTTCATTTGAAACAAACAGCTGTTAGTCAAAAAACTGTGTTGTGCAGAGGCCGTTAGTAGTTGATTGCTATCTTGACCAAATGGATTAACGTTTGCTAGTAGCAAAGCTAGCAGCAGAACGGTATTGCTATCAATGTTTAGCTTGCGCTAGCTAACGGTAGCTTTGTTCTTGTCAGCAACTTGTCTATAACAGATATGGATATACTATCATGTTCCTTTAATATAAGTGCAACTCTAGCTGTTCTGCAAACATATGTTTGAAACGCTTCTAAATGTATTTCCTTTCAAATGTATCTTACAAAATTATACTGCGTTAGCTAACGCCGCTAACAATGAGACTGGCTAGCACCAATAGTGGCACAGGAACAGGTGCGATCTAGCGAAAAAAAGAAAAGGATCTGCACTGATAAACTGACAATGGATCAGGGAGCATTGTTTTAGGAAATAAAGGTCTGCATTAATGTTGAAAATATTAATATTACCTCTCAGTCCTCCAAAGATGTCAACACAAAGACGGCACAGTCGCAGGGTCTCCTTTCAATGAACTCTTTCGTGATTGGTGGATCGAACATGTTAGTTAACACCACTCAGCGAAACGATTGGTCAAACTAACCGTCAATCCAAAAGAAGGTGGGGATTTATTACTCCACACTGCTACAATGGATCTTTTATTTAAGTTTACGTTTAGTCGTGCACAATGCTTTTCAAACACATCGGGAAATTATTTTTAGGTATCAAAGTTAAAAGAATTTGTGATGAAGTTGCATTTTGTTGCTGATCAGGATGTAGCGTTTCCGCCCCGTTTATCTTCCGTGTGGAGAACCGACAAAACTGATCCCATCGCAGCAAACAAACTGACGTCAGACTGTAAAAAAATAAAAAAACGAAACAGGATGGGCAAGAAAGGTGAGCGGGGTAGACAGGTAAAGGTGAGCTTTTCCGTCGCGCCTACTATCTAGGAAAGCAGCACCGATGTTTTGTTGAGTCTTTTGTTTCTCCATTTTGAGCTGACTGCGTGTAAGTAAGTTAGCACCTAATATTTATTCGTGAATATATGTTTGTGCCTCACTTCTACCGTTTCTCTTTACCAGCGAGTTTGAAAATGAGCGAAAGTGAGGTCCTTTCTATGCTTTTTTTTTCCGACTAATCTGGGTGTTGCTGGTAGTTAAGTTGATTTCTGTGTGTGATATGAAGCCTTTTAGGTTTGTGGTGTGCATATAATGTGTTGTAAATAAGATATAATACCTGTTGCAGCTCTCTAGAACGTCTTACATTATAAAACTCATTGTGAGAGTAGACACGTAAACAGACAGAAACAGGGAGGTCTTTAAATATCAGAGCAGGGAAGTTAAGGCTCATATAGGGAGTGTTTTTGTTTGGCATGGCTATTATATAATACACTTGTAAGGTTCAGAGTATATTATTAAAAACCATTAATGATTGCTGATTAACAATCTATCCAACAGAATCGAGAAAATGGTGAAGCAAAAGAAGGAGTCACAAAATCGGCCTGACAACACTGCTTTCACCCAGCAGAGGCTTCCGGCATGGCAGCCCATGCTCTCTGCTGGCATTGTCATCCCAGGGTTTGTCCTCATTGGCCTGGTCTTCATTGGCATTGGCGTCGCTCTCCTCGTCACTTCACAGAGCATCACAGTGTTGGAGGTATGACTGTGACCCCTGGACATACAAATCAGTCTGGTTTCACGCTGATAATTGAGGGTCACCAACCAAAAGAGAGGAAGAGTGACTGTAGAAAATGTGTTTGATGGGTTGAAATGAACAAAACTCTGTGTTTTCAGTGCAGAGAGAAAGAAAATAGTGTAAGGTCCAAAACCGCTATCTGCTTACAGACTTGTCACTTGTGAGAGATATCATTTTCTTGAGTTTAAAGATGCAGGTGTCAGTAACACTATGAGACAGGTGTTGTAGCCATCAATAATTAATAATCTTTCTTCTTCTTTCTTACACAGATCGACTACACTGGCACTAACCAAACCTCACCATGCTTCATGTGCTCTAACCCAGATGTCAAGAACTGTGTGTGCAAGGTGGACTTCTACATTGACAGTCTATTTCAGGTTGCATTGGAGCTTTGCACAAACACATTCACACACATGCAAACAGTATGTTTTATTTAAATTGAGCTCTGCTCCTGCCTCTGACCCATGGCTGTGCTTTTGTGACTCGTTTTTCCTCCACAGGGGCCAGTGTTCTTTTATTATGGTTTGTCCAACTACTTCCAGAACTACAGAAAGTATGGCGTGTCCAAAGATGATAACCAGCTGTCTGGAGACCTGAGTTACTTTACTGTGAGTTAAGAACTTGGGATATTGGGAGGGAAAAAAAACTCAAAGAAAAACCAAATCTATATGATCTCAATTGAAATAAAAACACTTATATGAGATATGATTAGTTGAGTACAAACTGACTTGTTATCACCAAGATTAAATATATGGGCAAAGGTTATATTACCTACTAATAGTACTTCATGTTGTCTCTCTCTCTCTCTTTCTCTCTCTCTTGAAGTCACCGAGTAACTCCTGTGCTCCCTATATGTATGACAGCAGCAACAAACCAATTGTACCGTGTGGATCTATAGCAAACAGCATGTTCAATGGTACATAAGGACATTTTAAATGACTGTAATGAATTTGGAATGACATTTATTTAATGTGTTAAGAACATTAATTCTTGCTTTGTTTTTGTTTTCTTCTTTAAAGACACCTTCACACTGTTTCAGTATGTCAATGGGTCAAAGACTCTGGTTCCCTTTGATGGAAAAGGGATTGCTTGGTGGACAGACTACAACATCAAGTACAGAAACCCCACGGTCACACCTCTGAAAAACGCATTCAACGGTAGTATCTTTGGTGTAATTTACTGTAACCTGCTGTCTATTCTGTTTGTAGTGTTAGGATGTAGATTGTGTTTAATGAGGGGTTCCCAGTCTGCTTAAAATTGATCAGTTTTACAAAGTGGTAAAGGAGTTGTATTGAAGGGAGTTTGAGACAATGAGAGGAGTAACTTGTTTAAGTGCAATAAATAGTGGGCAAAAGGGTGTCCTTTAGGTGAAGTAGTAATAATAATAAATAGCATATTGTTCATGTTTGAAAATCATGATAACTGATTAAAAGCTTTACTTCATTCCAGATACTGTTAAGCCCATATTTTGGTCCAAGGCTGCTTACGATTTGGACCCCTCAGACCCTTCTAACAATGGCTTCACCAATCAAGATTTCCTGGTGTGGATGAGGAGGGCAGCCCTGCCAAATTTCAGAAAGCTGTATCGACGAATTGATCAGAGTACTTATGCAAATGGTCTGCCACCTGGAAACTACTCCCTTGAAATTGCCTACAGTATCCTTACACATTACAGATTTTGGGAGGATTTTAAGGATGATGCTTGGAGGTATGTACAGCTGTGTTTGTTTAGAGTCCTCAAAAGCGATCAGAAATTACTCACATTTCTGCTAATTAATCTTTTTTCCATCACACAAATTAGTACTGCACAGCTATTTACATCTTGTTTGTTGTAATGCAGGCTTAGCAGACACCGAAAATCAATTTTAAAAATTTACCATATTACACACTTTTTTACTTGTTTTAAAACAGCATATAAGTCTGGATAATTAACCTTATAATCTAGGGGTATGCTTTAAACAAGAACATTTGTGTGGTTTAAGAAGATTAGCCTCAGATCTACCTGAAGGGGTCAGCCAGTGATTTTATTTTATTTTTTATTTTTTTGCTGTCCTGTTAGAACAGCAGTAGCTTAGTCTAACTTGTTTTACCGGTTGGGTGTAGTTCTGTTTTCACCTGGCAGAGTGACTCAGGAGTTTCTTGAGATGAGATAAAAAAACATGCAAATTTTCTGGCATATGTAGATGAACTATGCAAATATTTATTCACAGGATTGATTGCCATCTACCTGAAGGCCTATGGAAATACATCAAAGACATTTTTATATACTCATTTATGCTTTACATTTTTGCTTATCATTTTCAATACAAACCAGACAATTTTATTTTTTTGGATGTATTTTTCTATTGTTTCAGGCAGCCATTGCTTTATACTCTTTTCTATACTCGCAGACTAATGATCTTATAGTTGTGTAATAAATCACAGTGGACATAAAGTAAAAATTTCCAAAACCCCCGGTTGTTTAATACAGTATCCCTGTAATACTGTTTAGTATTTGAATAATTCAGTGAAAGAATTGGCATGTTTTTTTTAATCTATTATTTTATGTGTTTCTATTTTTGCTGTATATCCTTAACATTTTGTCCTTCAGACTATCCCGTTCAGACTTTTAACGGGGGAAAGAAGGTGATACTTAGCAACGTGTCCTGGATGGGTGGCAAGAATGAGTTCCTGGGCATTGCCTACCTCGTGACTGGTTCACTGTGTGTTGTCATGTCCATAGTCATGCTCATTGTCTATGCTAAATTCAAATTCCCTGACGAAGAATGAGTTCCTGGTCATGTACTGGTTGGCTGGGGGTTTATCTACCCTATAAACATTTTTTCTTTTTTCCTTTTTACTCAATGGGATGATGAAAGCACAGTACAGTGCTCTCAAAAGTGGGAGTATACAGCTAGAATCCACATATGAACTGACATTTTATGTGTTATTCTGGACATGAAAGGTCCTCTAAGGTGCAGAAGAAGCCTGGTGTCATTTTTGTGAGGCAGGACTTGACACTGGAGTTACCATATTGACTGCAAAATAGGAACTGGCTTTGCAGGCACTGTTGGATGATTGCCAATGTGGGTACATGTACTTGTCTGTAAGCATATCTGTGAAGGTAGACTCTCCTGAGTGCACTGCAAAGTCAATTAGCATTCATTGCTAGTGGATCAGCTGCAAGAAGTGTTTTCTTGTCATCACAAATTTGAGTGATTATTAGGGAAGTGTCATTGCTAACGCCAATTCCAAAATCATAATATTGTTAATTCTATTGTAAATATATCTATACTTTATTATTGGCCTCCACTGTGAATATGCAGTGTGCGCAGGCTGATATTTAGTGGACAAAAGTACACAGACACCCTAGTGTACTCTTGTTTATGCAGTTTATGCTAGTCTAGTTTATTTTACAATACTTGGATTTTGCAGGGTGTTTCTCTCAGGCTTCTTATACTGTACTTAAATGTTTGCATTCATAATTACAAAATGAGCTGCCTCCTCATTCAAGGCCAGTAGTTACATTAAAGCCATACATGATTTGATTAGCCAATTTATACTGTAGAAAAAGTTACTTTTAATGTGTGTGAGATGTGTAGCTTAGCTTGGAAATAATGGGGTCAATGTGGTTAATCTCTGGTGTACAGCCTTTGCAAACTCATGTTGTCTTCTATGCTCTGAGATTTTATTTCATGTTTATTTATTTAATAAAACAACATCAAAACCATAGCTTCACGTTCCTCTTGGTCTTATTAGGACTTTTAGATTCCACAGGCAACAGTGCCATGTTATGTATATGTAATTTCTATGCTGGATTTTATGGAATTGTCAAGTAGGTCAAGACCTAGGATGATATTCTGCATTGACCTTCCCCAAAAGCTTGATAACAACCATGTCCAATATTTATTACCAAATGAATCGTATTTCATCAGCATCATTTTAGAAGACATCATAGCACAGAGACAGCACTGGTGAAATGGCATCAGACAAAGGACTTGTCTTTGTACTTGTCTTATTAGATCTTTTGATATTGTTGACCGCCACATCCTATTACAGAGACAATTTTTTTAAATTGGCATCAAAGGATCAGACCTAAGCTGGTTTAAGTCCTATTTATTAGATAGGTCCCAATTTGTATACGATAATAATTCAACCATGCATACCAATGTTAATCATGGAGTACCACAGGGTTTGGTGCACTAGCTCCCTGTGAAATACAGAATACAATTTTAAATTGTTCTGCTTACCTACAAAGCCTTAACTTGCCAGGCAACATCTTACCTCAAAGAGCTCATTATACCATGTTGCCCCACTAGAGCACTGCGCTCTCAAAATGCAGGGTTTGCTTGTGGTGCCTAGTGTCACTAAAATTAGAGTGGGTGTCGGACAACGTCACTACTTAGAGTAGACTTAAGACTTTTTTGTTTGGTAAAGCTTTGTAACTTAAAGTTATAAAATATATTTTTATTTTATTCCTGTGTATTTTGTAAAGTGTATGTCATTTGGTGATTTTGCACTTTAAATAAAACTTGATTGATTGATCATATTTTAATGGGGTCCTGTCTGTTGCAGTATTGCTGGAGCTCTAAGGTCAAGCTTTATTGCCTTTGTAGGTCTGCCTTCTCAGCTGACTCAAGTCCAAGCACTAGGTAACGTTACTCTTTTACGCTCTGTTTAGCATCTCATTAATGAGTCTGCAAAAAATGCAGTTATGCCAGTGAAATTGTGTTTGTAAGCTTACAACAATTACAATTTGTTAACATTATATTCTCCCTGAATTACTAATACTATTCTTAAAGTATTATAATTTTTTTTACTGTCTGGTGCAAAGGAGGATTTCTCTGCCTCATTGGAGAGACAACTCCCTTTCTCCCCCTGTCTGTCATGCACGATTATGACAAAAAGAGGAAAAAAATTGATTCGTTCAGCCGCATTATGGGTATTGTAGTTTTTGGCTAGCACAGTCCAGTGAAATACTCATCCATTGAACGACAGGTCCCACAATCCTTTGCGCAGATAAACCTGACGGCCACGGTTGCAGGCTTTTGACAGCGGCAGTCCACTTCTGCTGAAAGGGGTACTGCAGTCAGTGAGCTATATAAACTCAGCCTCCCTGCTTTGTTCACTTTCACGTCGCGACGGCTCGTCGTTGACCGCTTTAAAGAATGTCTGACGGTGGGGGGACAGAGGAAAACTCCGGCACCATGGAGGTGTCGGCCGTTCAGACGGTCGCGGACACATCGGTGCTGCAGAAGCACATAAGGAAATTGGTACCGCTGCTCCTGGAAGATGGCGGCGAGGCCCCGGCCTCACTGGAAACCGCCCTGGAGGAGAAGAGCGCCGTGGAGCAGATGAGGAAATTTCTGGCCGATCCCCAACTTCACACCATCCTGGTCGAGAGAAGTGCACTCAAAGGTACATTTAAAAAGAAGCGGTAGCTAGCTGATATGATTTGAGTCCTTCAGATTATATTACTAGGGCAATTAACGTCATATTTGCCGCCAGCAATGTCTAAACCCATTGTTACCCAAGTTGTTATTAACATTGTAACATTATGTGTAAGATGAAGTTGGTTATTTAGGTTAACAGTGTTAACCTAGCTTGCTGTCTCCATCCATTACATTGTTAAATTGTAAGGCAACTACGCCACACTGGGTGGGGACGAGGAAACCGCTAATGACAACACAATAATGCAGGTGCTCAATGTTAAGTTAGCTAACGTTATGATTGGCAGTGTAGGATTATACGAAAGTCAGCGTTACCATTGTGTTCATGTTCAAAGTACGGTAATATTTAGTTGTTGACAACAACGTGAAAAAGAACAAAGTCCTGATAAGACAGGAGCACCAATCTCAGAAATTCAGAGAATGATTCCTTTGTAATAACTGCAAGTCATGTTGTGTGCACCGCCACCTTGGGGTTTCATCATGTGAACCAGCTTCTGTCAATGAACACATTCTCTTCAGTTTCCTCCAGGCGAATTAATCCTGAACTTCTGAGCCGCTTGCCCTTCCTAATGTTTTATGAGCTCTGAACCTTGTTCCCCTGATACTGCACATGATCAACCACTGCAGGTTTTGGATTCCCACCGAGAGAGTCGGTGCCCCAGCCCATCCCATTTTTTTTTGCACTAAGAATACTTATACTGCAATGCAGAGAGTAACGTTACCATCTCTGCAGATGGTCTGCAGATCATTTCCTGCAAGCTATAACCTCACGTGTAAAGGACACAGATGGATGGGTGTAGATGAAAGTGTCAGATTGCTATGTCATCCTACTGTAACATGGCCTATTATACTCCGATAAACTCAACTCCTCCTGTGCCACGTTTTACTTGGGAGTGGAGAATCTTAATGTATCTTAACAGCTTGCAGGGCTTAACGTTAAACTTTTTTGCAACTGGCCCCGAAACTTACTGGCCCGAAGACAATTTTTACTGTCCCTCCTTCCAAAAGTGTTTAATCGTTTATTAAATACATGCTGCATATAAAAAAACTAAACAAATGTAATCACAGTTAAAATGATGATAAATAAAAAGGTTAACAACACAGTTTACTTTTAAAACAAAACATACTAAGACTCAAACATGACGTGCTCTCCTGCTGACAGCCATTTATGAAAAATGAACACAGAGCAGCGGATACAAGTCGCCTCTATCCCTATCCCGATGAACAGGTTGCCATGGTAGCGACCTGTCAATCACAAGGTAGTCCCGTCCAAAAGCATACGCTGCATTATCGTCTATTTTCCCCTAAATAGGACCATAATATACTGAATGAACATCATATTGTGTTGAAGAAGACTTGAAACTAGCGACTCGGACTATAAGCTAATTTAAAAGTGTTTACTGAGGCTGAGAAGTAGCAACATTTACCATTATTTCTAATGGAACTCGCCCCCTGCTGGCCGTTAGGGAGAATGCAGCTTTAAGTTCCGTCTGCATGGTTTCACTGTCGACCCAGAGGTTACCGCACGATTGAGATTAGAGAAATAACATTTGACAACCTCTCGTCACGTAACTACAACTCTGGATTGGACATCGGTGCGCGCCAAGAACCTCAAAACAACTGCAGGATGTTGAGTTTAATTTATTTATTTTTAAATACTAATGTTTTTCAGTGAGTTTCTAGTTCAGCTGTGATTTAAAGAGTTGTCTGTTTACTTTACAGAGGATGTTGGAGATGAAGGAGAGGAGGAGAAGGAGTGCATCACTTATAACATCAGCATTGACATACACTATGGGATCAAGTCCAACAGGTAAATGAGCCATCTAAAACTAGTACTGTTTCTCTACTTTTAGTTTACTCAATAGCACTCAGCTTCCACTTAAGTTCTGTTAATTCTGAACTGCGAATTTCACTCTTTTCTCCCCTGCAGCTTGGCTTTGATCAAGAGGACAGGCGTCATTGATGCAGACAAGCCCATATCAACCCAAGTTCGAGTTCTGACCTTGAGTGAGGATTCTCCCTATGAGACACTCCACTCATTCATCAGCAATGCTGTCGCTCCTTTCTTCAAGTCCTACATCCGAGAGTCTGGCAAGGCAGACAGGTAATCCTGAAAATGTGTCTATTGTATTTTGATAAAAACTTTCGTCTAATAAACTAAATCATAATCTGATGGAGAATTAATCTATACTATAATCTTTGGGCTAACCCTCTAGAGATGGGGATAAGATGGCTCCCTCTGTGGAGAAGAAGATTGCTGAGCTGGAGATGGGCCTTCTTCACTTGCAGCAGAATATTGAGATTCCTGAGATCAGCCTGCTCATCCACCCCATCATCACAAACATCGCCAAGCAGTGCTATGAGCGTGGGGAGAAGCCCAAGGTCACTGACTTTGGAGACAAAGTGGAGGACCCAACCTTCCTTAACCAGTTGCAATCTGGAGTCAACCGCTGGATCAGGGAGATCCAAAAGGTAATTGGCATTCCCATATTTCTATCACAAATGAAAACAAAACAAGGTGGATATAATTCATATAATACAACAGGTATATGGGGAAAAATGTCATACTCAACACTGAGTGTATTTGTCTCCTCCACCTATATCAGGTGACAAAACTCGATCGTGACCCAGCGTCAGGCACAGCCTTGCAAGAGATCAGCTTCTGGCTGAATCTGGAGAGAGCCCTCAACAGGATCCAGGAGAAGAGAGAGAGCCCTGAAGTTCTGCTCACACTGGACATCCTCAAACACGGCAAACGTTTCCATGCTACTGTCAGCTTTGACACCGACACTGGTGAGTGACAGCCAGTTGGAAAAACATGTTCTTTGGCTTATTTCACTTCTGCTGCCTTTACTGACAGTATTGTATCAAGTACAGTATGAGTAATTGTTTATCCTTTCTCTACTTCTCACAGGTCTGAAACAGGCTGTGGAAACCGTCAATGACTACAATCCTCTGATGAAGGACTTCCCTCTCAATGACCTGCTCTCTGCTTCAGAGCTCGATAAGATCCGCCAGGCCCTGATGGCCATATTCACTCACTTGAAAAAGATTAGGAACACCAAGTACCCTATCCAGAGAGCACTGCGTCTAGTAGAAGCCATCTCCAGGGACTTGAGCTCCCAGCTACTCAAGGTGTTGGGCACCAGGAAGCTCATGCATGTTGCCTATGAGGAATTCGAAAAGGTTTGTGTGGTTGGGTCTCTGGCATAAAACCTAATATATTTTTCCTCTTATTTTAGCTACTCAAATTTTTATACTTCATTCTAAATGTCGTTTTAAAAACTTTGTGCAGGTGATGGTGGCATGCTTTGAGGTGTTCCAGACATGGGAGGATGAGTACGAGAAACTGCAGGTGCTTCTGAGGGACATTGTGAAGAGAAAGAGAGAGGAGAACCTGAAGATGGTGTGGCGTTTGAGCCCCGCCCACAGGAAGCTCCAATCACGTCTGGATCACATGAGACGTTTCAGAAGGCAGCATGAGCAGTTGAGGGCTGTCATCGTCCGTGTGCTGAGGCCTCAGGTAAAGTACAGCGTCTGTAATGGCCACACTTGGACTGACTCACATGCCTTGCCATTAGTTTCTGTTTTGCTGTTTTCTTGTAGATCCTGACAAAAGAATTAATAACTGTTTTTTTTTTTTTACTTTTTGTCTCCAGATTTCTGCCGTACCACAACATGCCCCTGGAGAGACAGTTGAGCCTCAAGACATGAAAGTAGCTGGAGTTTTGTTTGATGCTGCTGATGCCAATGCTATCGAGGAGGTCAACCTGGCATATGAGAATGTCAAAGAGGTAGATGGCCTGGATGTGTCTAAGGAAGGCATGGAAGCCTGGGAAGCCGCCATGAAGCGTTATGATGAACGTATCGACCGCGTTGAGACCCGTATCACTGCCCGCCTGCGCGATCAGCTGGGAACCGCTAAGAACGCCAACGAGATGTTCCGCATCTTCTCCCGCTTTAATGCCCTCTTTGTCCGTCCCCACATCCGTGGTGCTATCCGGGAGTACCAGACACAGCTCATCCAGCGTGTGAAAGATGACATCGAGTCGCTGCATGACAAGTTCAAAGTGCAGTATCCCCAAAGCCAGGCCTGTAAAATGAGCCATGTCCGAGACCTGCCACCTGTGTCTGGCTCCATCATCTGGGCCAAGCAGATCGACCGTCAGCTGACTGCGTATATGAAAAGAGTGGAGGATGTTCTGGGAAAAGGCTGGGAGAACCATGTGGAGGGGCTGAAGCTGAAGCAGGATGGAGATAGCTTCAGGGCTAAACTCAATACTCAAGAGATATTTGATGACTGGGCTCGCAAGGTATGGAGCTGGTCATAGACATAGGATAGTATTTTAAAATGTTATTCGACATCATAAAATGTTCTATTTTTTTGTCTCTTACAATGTTTTAATTTTTTTGTTTTTAAATATAAGGTGCAGCAGCGTAACCTTGGTGTGTCTGGCCGCATCTTCACCATTGAGAGTACTCGTGCCCGTGGACGTACCGGAAATATGCTGAAGCTTAAAGTCAACTTCCTCCCAGAGATCATCACTTTGTCCAAAGAGGTCCGCAACCTCAAGTGGTTGAGCTTCCGTGTTCCTTTGGCCATCGTCAACAAAGCCCACCAAGCTAACCAGCTGTACCCATTTGCCATCTCTTTGATTGAGAGTGTGCGCACCTACGAGCGCACTTGTGAGAAAGTGGAGGAGAGGTCCTCCATCTCACTGCTGGTGGCTGGGCTTAAGAAAGAAGTTCAGGCTCTCATTACTGAAGGCATCACTCTGGTCTGGGAGTCCTACAAGCTGGATCCCTATGTTCAGAGGCTGGCTGAGACTGTATTTAACTTCCAGGAGAAGGTTGGTTACAATGATTACATATAAACTGAACAAGTGCGATTGTTAAGTTGCCCCAAACATAATTTCTAATGGGTTCCCCCCCCCCCCTGCTGTATGTTTCCAGGTGGATGACCTCCTACTGATTGAGGAGAAAATTGATCTTGAGGTTCGCTCTCTGGACACTTGCATGTTTGACAACAAGACTTTCTCTGATATCCTCAACCGAGTCCAGAAAGCGGTAGATGACCTCAATCTCCACTCTTACTCCAATCTGCCCATCTGGGTCAACAAGCTCGACATTGAGGTGGGCACCACAAAACAACAATCCAAGGATTATTTGTTATTCTGATTCAGTTATGTTGTAACTGTTTTGAGTCCGAATGAAATACTTTCAACCTCTGAATCTTTTTTACATGTGGCTGGCCTGAAAGGTTTTAATGATCGTTTTGTTTTCATAGATTGAACGTATCCTGGGAGTGCGTCTGCAGGCTGGCCTAAAGGCCTGGACCCAGGTCCTCCGTGGCCAGCTAGAGGACAAAGCTGATGTGGACATGGACACAGAGGCTCCACAAGTGAGCCACAAACCTGGAGGGGAGCCCAAGATCAAGGTAGCCATTGTGACTGTGTTGCCTTATGTCATATTTTTTTTTATTTTCATAATTATACATTACTTATAAAACATTGGATTCCTGGACACATATGGCTATTATAACAACAAATAATTTATTTTCCCAGAATGTTGTCCATGAGCTGAGGATTACTAACCAGGTGATCTACCTGAACCCACCGATTGAAGACTGCCGCTACAAGCTTTACCAGGAGATGTTTGCCTGGAAGATGGTCATACTTTCCCTTCCCAGGATCCAGAGCCAGAGATACCAGGTAACCTTGTCTGAACAGTTGATACCCTGTATCATCTTTTTAAAGAATTTTAAAATGTAAATGAAAGACTCGATAGTCTAACAATGGTGATGAATAAAAGGTTTGAATCGAATAGAGAATCGTGACACCTCTAATGCAGATTGTCTGGGATATGCAAACATATAGGTGCAAGGCAGTGTGAACAAAGTAATGTATTTTATTTTATTTCTGACATGAAATATGGAGACGTGGATTTTGTGTCCTATTACACTTGTGCTGTTGCTTTAATCTAAGTACATTTGTCCTTCCTCACCAGGTGGGAGTCCACTATGAGCTTTCAGAGGAGGAGAAGTTCTACAGAAACGCCCTGACCAGGATGCCAGATGGCCCTGCAGCCTTAGAGGAGGCCTACAATGCAGTGGAAGATATTGTCAATGAGGTGGAGCAGTACGTTAAGGTAAAAGTCATCTTGTTATAACACAAAATAAATGCTTTATCATACCTTTTGATTAGCTGCTGATAGAATGCCTTGGTTTTAAGTATGGATTTAAAGAAATGGAAAAATACTGTTTTCTTTTGTACGGTCATGTGCATAATATACACTAGCATCTACATTACATTGTATCTCTTTTCTTTGTTGCTCCTGTCCAGGTGTGGCTGCAGTACCAGTGCTTATGGGACATGCAAGCTGAGAACATCTACAACCGTCTGGGTGAAGACCTCAGCAAGTGGCAGGCCCTGCTGGTCCAGATCCGCAAAGCACGTGGGACCTTTGACAATGCAGAGACACGGAAAGAGTTTGGACCTGTAGTCATCGACTATGGCAAGGTAAAAATGATTGACAGTTGTAGGGACTGTATTTGTAAAAGTATTTCTCAAATGATTATTAAAAATAGTCTATTAAAAAGAAGACTCAAAACTACATTTTAGACAATCACTACATTTATAATCATTTTAAGGGAAGCGTGAGGTCTCTTCTACATAAACCCTATTATTTAGTAGTATTAGTTTTATAACAATGCTATGTTCTATTTGTAACGTCTTTTGCTGCTCCATCTTGTACATTTGTATAAGTATATTTTTGTATGTCTATGGGCTTCTTATTCATTCTCATTAAATGTTTGTATCTGTCCTTGACATACAGGTCCAGTCCAAGGTGAACTTGAAGTATGATTCCTGGCACAAAGAAGTGCTCAGCAAGTTTGGTCAGATGCTTGGTAACAACATGCAGGACTTCCATGCCCAGATCTCCAAGGTTAACACACATGATTGAGACATTTTTTTGACCAGCTTAGTAACACTGATTTCCAAATGACATGGATCAGACGATTATTCTATGAACTATTTTTTATTTTATTTTTTCTTATCTCCTTTTTCTGTTTCCTCAATAGTCCCGTCAAGAACTGGAGCAACATTCTGTGGACACGGCTAGCACCTCTGATGCTGTCAATTTCATAACATATGTCCAGACCCTGAAGCGCAAGATAAAACAGTTTGAGAAAAATGTGGACGTAAGTACTCCAAAACATTCACTATCTGTTCATTCTTTTGTACTACTGCATGCTGTAAGAAAAACAACAAAGCATCCTAATCAGATTCCCCCTCCTTTTACCCCTAGTTATTCCGTAATGGACAGCGTTTGCTGGAGAAGCAGAGATTCCAGTTCCCTCCATCTTGGCTCTACATTGACAACATCGAAGGTGAATGGGGGGCCTTCAGTGACATAATGAAGCGCAAGGATACAGCTATCCAGCAGCAGGTGGAAAACCTGCAGAAAAAGATTGTCCAGGAGGACAAAGCTGTGGAAAACCGCACCACTGACTTGCTCAATGACTGGGAGAAGACCAAACCAGTTGCTGTAAGAGAAATTAAATTTGAAATACAATATACTGTGCTGTCACCCTAGGGCACACGTTCTGTGAACATATATTACAGATGACTGCTAATTGTTAAATTAGAATAATATTATTTTGAACAGCAGTTGAAGCATTTGCTGATGTACAGATAAACTTATCAAATGTTTGACATTTTAAAATTGAACTATTTATTGTTGGGGTTTTTTTTTTTTTGTCTAAATGGTTATCTGTTTCACCAGGGGAACCTGCGTCCAGAGGAGGCTCTTCAGTCTCTGACGATCTATGAGGGCAACTTTGGCCGACTGAAGGATGAAAGGGAGAAGTGTGCCCGAGCCAAAGAAGCCCTGGAGCTCCCAGACACTGGCCTGCTCAGCGGCAGTGAAGAGAGGGTGCAGGTAATGCCAGGAAACATTTGAATTAAAGCATTTAAATCCCTGATAAAAGACCAAGTAACAGATAGCAAATATTTCAGAGACTGATTTGGAATAGGAGTAATATTTAACCCATTATGCACAAGATTAAAAAAAAACATACTTTAATTATGACTTATTTCTGTCTCTGTGGTGACTTGTAGGTGGCCCTAGAGGAGCTGCATGACCTGAAGGAGGTTTGGTCCGAGCTGTCAAAGGTCTGGGAGCAAATCGACCAGATGAAAGAGCAGCCATGGGTGTCTGTACAACCTCGCAAGGTAACAAATCCATAATAATAATTCAGATCATTGATCCTCTATTTTTAATTTGTGAAATTCTTAGGATATAACTATTCTTGGTGTTTTTGTGTCTGTAGCTTCGTCAGAGCCTGGATGCTCTATTGAACCAGCTGAAGAACTTCCAAGCAAGACTGAGACAGTATGCCTCCTATGAGTATGTCCAGAGGCTGCTTAAAGGATACCTGAAGGTCAGGCAGCATATTTTTAACACTAAGCACAAATTCTGACTCACAAGAAAGGGTTAGTAAACTCTTGACCTAATCCTTTTCTCTCACCAGGTTAACATGTTGGTGATTGAGCTGAAATCAGAGGCTCTGAAGGACCGCCACTGGAAGCAGCTGATGAAACGTTTGCATGTAAACTGGGTTCTGTCAGAGCTGACTCTGGGACAGATCTGGGATGTGGATCTGCAGAAGAATGAGATGGTGGTGAAGGACGTTCTCCTGGTAGCCCAGGGAGAGATGGCTTTGGAGGAGTTCCTTAAACAGGTGAAGACGGCGGGCCCTGAAGAGATAATGCAGTGTAGTTGTAATGCTCACAGGAAAAATTACACTCTGGTTTGTAGTTCTTTTTTTAGTATTAATTCTGGGGGTTTTTTGGCTTCAGATCCGAGAAGTCTGGAACTCGTATGA